GGACAAGTCAGTACATTTGCAAAGTTTGGGGAAATCAGAATTCAAGTTCGTAACCTCAAAATCAAAAACAGCAATAAAATCAATCGAGCAATGGACAACAGCATTTCTAAAATTTTTGGCCATTTATTCTGAGAAATTCCCCAACTTGGTACCAGCGGTCATCAAACATGGGGAAATTGTGCGCGAGCTGGCTAGCAGACGCATAGGTTTGGCCTGGTTAGTGTATGATAGGCAAGTCCGCAAGGACATAGAATCAAGATCAATTCCTTGGGGGCAAATTCACTATGAGTACTGGGTCATGGCCACCACATCGCGTCAACCTAATTATGGTAATCAAACACATAATTTTCGTGGCCGATACCAATTTCAAAGCAAAGGAGGGGGGGGGGGCTTTAAAGGCAAGAGATTACCCCAGGGATATTGTTATGCTTTCCACAGAACTGGACCTTGTGCACCCCATAACTGTCAGTACAAGCACTATTGCTTGCACTGCAGAAAGTCACACTCAATGCTTTTCTGCCCATTGGGAGACCAGTCACAAAACACTACCACAGGCTCCCAAACCATACAAAAAGAGTCTAATAATACCTTCAAAAAGATTGATTGTCACTCCTGTAAGAGTATCTTTCTTAGAACATTTCCTAAATGGGTATGAGGAAGATTTAAAAACATTTTTATGTAAAGGTTTTGGGGAAGGTTTTCATTTACAATATAATGGTCTGAGGCAGCCAAGGCGTTCATCTAATTTACTTTCAGTGAAGGAACATGAAGACATTGTAGCACAAAAACTGCAGAAAGAAATTTCTCTTGGTAGGATTGCAGGTCCTTTTGAGGTACCCCCATTTGATAATCTTCAGTGTTCTCCAATTGGTCTTGTTCCAAAGAAAGAGGTTAATGAATTCCGCCTTATTCACCACTTATCTTATCCCGAAGGGGGGTCAGTGAATGATTTTATCCCTGGTGAATTATGCTCAGTATCTTATACAACAATTGATGATGCAATTAAACTTATCAAAAAAATTGGAAAAAATTGTTTGCTAGCAAAGACAGACATGGCATCTGCATTAAGAATTTTACCAGTTCATCCTAATGATCATGAATTGTTAGGAATTCAGTTCAAGGGATGTTTTTATTATGATAAGTGCCTTCCTATGGGGTGTTCTATATCGTGCTCTATTTTTGAGACATTCAGCACAGCATTACAATGGATTGCTTGTAGCAAATTTGGGGTGCCTAATATGCTGCACATATTGGACGATTTTCTTTTTCTAGGTCCTCCTAATTCTGCACATTTGTCATTCATCATTAAACCAATTTTTATCTATGTGTGAAGTTCTTGAAGTCCCAATCAAGTCTGAGAAAACAGAAGGACCTTCAACAACCATTGTATTCTTGGGGATAGAATTAGATACTATAAAAATGGAAGCTAGACTTCCACAAGAGAAAATACAAAAAATCAAACTTACACTTGATTCAGCCAAGAAATGCAAAAAGATCACACTGCGGAATCTTCAATCTTTGATTGGCTTATTGAATTTCGCATGCTGTGTAGTCGTACCAGGAAGAGCTTTCCTGCGACGTCTCATAAATCTGACAAAAGGAGTTTGTAAACCCCATTTCAAAATTCGTCTCAATAAGCAGGCTAGGCTAGATATGGAAGCATGGAGTGAATTCATAAACAATTTTAATGGAAAATCTATATTCCTAAACGATGAATAGCAAAACTCTGAAAAATTTCACATGTACACTGACGCTCCTGGAAGTTTAGGATATGGGACAGTTTTAGGCAAAAATGGTTTTATGGGAGTTGGGAAGAGATACGTTTACAAGAATATGATATTACATTCAAAGAATTATTTCCCATTGTGGTAGCTGTTGAAACTTGGGGGGCGGGGGGGGGGGGCGGGGGGAGTTTATCCAACAGTTCTATACTTTTTTATTCAGATAACATGGCAGTTGTTAACATTATTAACAAAATATCCTCAAAAGATATTCCAGTCATGCATTTGGTGAGGCGTTTAGTTTTAGCTTGCTTACGCTTTAACATTCTTTTCAAAGCAGAGCATATTCCTGGGAAACTAAATATCTTACCAGATTTACTTTCGCGTTTACAGGTCGACAAATTCCGGGTCTTGGCACCACATATGGATCAATACCCAGACAGCATACCTCTGAAGTACCTTCATGTCTAGAAGATACTGCATCTGAATTATTGCAAGCTGCAGTTTCAGTCAATACTCATTCTTCTTATAAGACTGCACTTGCTGTATATGACAAATACTGCAGGCAAACTTTCTCATCATGCTCAAAATTCCCATCCCAAGTTACTGATGTAATATACTTTGTAGCATGGTTACACCACAAAGGCAGAACTTATAATACAATCAATACATATTTAGCTGGGATCTCTTATCATCATAAAATCCAAGGGCTAGCAGATCCAACAAAATTTATTGTGGTGAAAAAACTTATTAAGGGGGCTCAACACCTGTCTAGTACCCCTGATATTCGGTTACCCATAACACCCAAAATTTTGTTTCAGTTAATTAATGCTTTAAATGTTACGGTTTGTGGAAAGTTTAACAAGCGTCTTCTGGCGGCCAAGTTTACACTTAGCTTTTTTGCTTTCTTGCGGGTAGGAGAAATAACTGCAAAATCTACAAGGTCAGGGCACAGAAATTTAAATTGAAATGAGCAATTTGTCTAAGGATAAAAAACAAAAGAAATTTATGACTTTGACACTTCGGCATTTTAAGCACAATGACACATGCAGACCGGTATGTTTGCAAATAGCAGCTCAAAAATGCAAATCTATATGCCCAGTACAATCAATGACAAAGTATCTTCAAGTAAGAGGGTCAAAGCAGGGGCCTTTATTCTCTTTTGATGGAGCCAATCCAATTACGCAGTCATTTTATACATCGGCATTGAAAAATGCTTTGTCTTATATTGGACTAAACACAAAGCGCTATAAATTGCATAGCTTTCGGATAGGTGCAGCATCACATGCATTTCAGTGTCACATTCCTGAAGATAAAATCTGTCTCATGGGTCGCTGGAATTCAAATGCAGTAAAACGTTAATTTCGAATCCCTGTATTTGATTGTATTGATATTTCCCCTTCAAGTCAGACTGTCTGAGGCAGCTGAATTTTTTAGGGGTTTATGCTCAGTACCCATAGTGTTGTTGGTTTGTACATTGCTTTATGTTTAACTATGTGTCCACAAACTGGAAGAGAGATGTAAAACTTGTGATGAAGTAGATTGTATAATGTGACATTTAAAAAGTATGTATCTTTACTGATATCAACAATGACTGTCTGAGGCAGCATTTTGGTATATGGGAAACTCCTCTGAATAACTACAATGACTGTCTGAGGCAGCATTTTGGTATATGGGAAACTCCTCTGAATAACTACAATGACTGTCTGAGGCAGCATTTCTGGGAATAGGTAACTTTATTTGTAACCACAATGACTGTCTGAGGCAGCATTCCTGTGGACATGTAATTTTATCGGTAACTAAAATGACGGTCTGAGGCAGCATTTGTTGGTATATGTAACTCTAATGCAAACCACAATGCCTATGTAAGACAGTATGAGGGTGTATGTAATTGTATTGTTAACTATCTTTTTTGGTACCTATAGCACATACATTGTGCAAAGTTGCTTAATATTGTCAGAAACATTTAATTTTTTAGCATAATTTTATAAATAAGTTTGGACGAATTTGTTTTTCTTACAAATGGTATGATAGAATAATTAGCTTGTACATATAGTTTTTACTCAAGTCTTTATGTATGCATAATTCTTTACATCAGTGTGAATCCTGTGGCAGCATATGTTCAGTTGTAAAAACTTTTTATTTTTTGTAATGTAGTAAATTCTTTAGTTGTTTTGTACCGTAGAACAATTTATGTGTAGTTTTTCCCCTTTGCTGTAGATTAAATGTCACAATAGTCTTTTTCTCATAATTTTTTACCTGATAAATTATGCATTGGTAACCACTTGTGGTGTTTATATGCTTCCCACTCGTCTCCTCTGGATGGGGCACTTGTCTATAACTTGTTATAGACAAGTTTGTGGCATTTTTTAAAGGTTTGTCCCATCTTTTTTGCCAAAATTTTTTTCAAGTCATATTTTTAGGTCTTCATTATATATGTTAAATCATTATTAGGAATACGTTAAAGTATGGTCATTTCTAATTTTTGTCCTTATTTGGTGAATTTTGTTTGGCATACTAATAAATGCTCATTTACAACAACTGAAAGGTTCATGTTATGTTTGGCAAAAAACAGAGCAGAGTAGACTCATGGATTGAGAGTATGGATTACTTTCAGAAAAGTCCAAAAACGATGGTATATTTGTATTTATGTGCAACATAAAGTAATTTATACCATCTATCAATGCATTGTATTGTTATGTATTCTTTCCGGATATCTATCGATTCATTGTATTGTTATGTATTCTTTCCGGATATTTTAATGCCACACTCAACCTGGGTTTAAATCGGTAACTTGATCTTATCACGTGATCATTGTTTATCTCTATTCTGCACACTTTGTCTGAAAAATGTTTTGACCCGCCCCCTCCCCTTCAACCACTACACAAGTAAATCAATTAATATTCACGGCTAGGTTCAATTTAATTTAACTGTCTTGTCAAAGGACTCAGTTTTTTGTTCAACTGTAGCAATGCATATTTAGTATAACTTTTATCCTGTAAATAAAATGTTCTTAGTTGATATGTAAAGCATGTTTTTAATACTCGAACATAATATGTTATGTCATGTTTCTTGTGTGTTTTTTAGTTTTGTGTGTTTGGCATTTTTTTAAAGGTTTGTCCCATCTTTTTTGCCAAAATTTTTTCTAGTCATATTTTTAGGTCTTCATTATATATGTTAAATCATTATTAGGAATACGTTAAAGTATGGTCATTTCTAATTTTTGTCCTTATTTGGTGAATTTTGTTTGGCATACTAATAAATGCTCATTTACAACAACTGAAAGGTTCATGTTATGTTTGGCAAAAAACAGAGCAGAGTAGACTCATGGATTGAGAGTATGGATTACTTTCAGAAAAGTCCAAAACGATGGTATAATTGGTCATTTTCTTCTTAAAATCCTCCCGCCATAAAGTATAGTTCCTCACGTAATGCTTTCGGTATGGAATTTAATCCTGGGGTTTTAATTGAATATAGTTTAAATAGCATAGTAGAATCCAAATTTATTGTAAGAACTAAAATATTATGCAGAATTTCTTAAATAGAGGTCAAGACAAAAATCTGCTCAAAAGCTCAGGAATGAATCTCGATAAGATCTAATATTGCTGTTCGCTAAAAAAAAATTGCTTCTTAATTTCTTATCGGACAGAGTCCGATATTAAACTTATTTAACTTAATATCAGACTGCTCACTGATATCGGACTGCCACAGGCAAACCTTTGGACTGCAAGAAGAAAGGAATGACATCACAGCAATGTTTTAAAGGACTCATCGCATGTTTCTAAATTATTTGAAATTAAAAGCGTACAACGTTCCTTATGACCACACATGCCACAGTTTATAAATTTTGTGTTTTTACTGCGGATAAACCGCGGTAATTAACCAATTATTGACTCAAATGAAAACCCCCGAATTAAAAATCAAAGTTTATTAGATAGCGATCATGTGACCCTGTGACGTCAAAGGCGACAATGGCTGATCAGCTCTTCACGTTAATCTTACTAAAATATACGCGATACAACTTGAATTTTATGCGTTGTGGACGACCAAATCACTGATTCAATCGATATGAAATTGAATATCCAACCTTATATTTTAGAAATGTAAGCAAGAAAAAAATCTGTTAATATTGTAAAAATAGCAGCAACGATATCGAAGGAGACGCGGCGAAGACGAAGAAACTCGCCATCACAGTACGATTTGATTTGTCATCTTATCACATGTATTAACTTATTTCATTCACAAATTTGATATTGTATAACTTTGTTATTCTTCGTTTTTAGCATAACATTAATTTACTTATGTTTTGTAAAGGATGGCGGTCTTGAAAAATAATTTTCCGATCACGAAACATTGCTGTAATCGGAGATGTACAGATTCTAAATGTTTCGAATAAAAAGCGAAAATATCTCAAAAGCCTTATACCTTACAATTAGTTACTTTTCTACAGTAATTATAAAACACACTTGGAATTAATATTTTCAGTATTTTTCGTAATTAAGGTGCATTTGTCGTTGATAACTCCGTAAATAGTGTGCATATTCTCATCTCTCTATCACTGAATTGTCGCCTATGACGTCAGAGCTGTATTTCGCCGAAATCCGACTGAAATATGCATATTGCCGTATTTGAATTTCAACTCTCAATATCTTTTAAAATATGCTTTCAACAACGTTTATTGTATTCAGTATTTTAATAAACAAGGTTGTAGATAATATTTTTCATAAAATTATGATTTTTAAAAAGATCATGCGATAAGTCCTTTTTATGTATGAAATAACAAATGATCCAAAGACTACGAGGGGTGATCAAAAAGTTCGCGAACTAATTGAATTACTTCCATAAAAGAAATAAAATTAGGTTTCAGTGTTTATTATTTTTAAAGTAGTCCTCTTCGATTTTTTTTATTTACATTGTCCATTGTATACATACATATATGCAAATAAATGTCTACGAAAACAGTATACAATGGATTTTTTGCACGCACACACACACAAACACACACAAGCACACACATGCAGTCACTCACATTTATCGGATTAAGCTGGAAATATGCTGAAGAAATATGAAGGCTGCTTTAAGAGGACAGAAATCATTATATCTGTTGTTCACAAATTTAAAAAAATACAAACAATTATTGAAAAAACAAATATAAAACATTTAATAATATTCCATAGATTGGTTAAAAAGAAAAACATTTCAACTGGGTTCAAACATTTTCTTCCATAAGTCCCATTTCTTTTCAAACAATGATAATTTAGAGCTATAGATTTATACACTTCTCTCAATATTATATTTCATTTTCAAATGATTTATAAGGCCAAAAAAGTTTGGTTTTTTACATTGTGATGAGCAAGAAAAAATATACTGCTTAGTGTATAATATGATAAAGTTTATAATCATGTTATCTTTAGTGAGTGGTATTTCACCCAACATAATACTTTTAATATTAAAACCAATTCTTTTAGAAGTTGTTCTACAGATATGCATACTCAAATTTCTCCATAAATCCACTATGTCATTACAAGTTACAAAATACATGTTGAATAGTTTCAATATCCTCCTTACAAAAGTTGCATGAATCAGATGTTTTAATATTAACTTTTTAAGATAATATCCAACAGGAAGAATTCTATGAAGAAGTCGATTCCACTGTACAGAAGAACCTTTTGTAGTCTTGAAACATACACGAAAAACATCTTGTGTGCATATATCATTCACTCAAAGGGGAGTCAACTCTACATTCCACTTTGAAATTGCTGTAGGCTGCATATAATTTTTGTTTATGATATTATAAATATTTTTTGTACATTTATTATTCAACAAAATATTTTCATGATAAAATATTAAATAAGGCAAGCAACTTTTCTTCATTGATGTTCTCTCAATTGCCAGATTTTTAAAGCATTTTGCAATAGCACAAATGACACTAACGAACTGCATTACATTTAAAGTAGGAATATTAAATTTTTGTTGAAAAGCAGACTTTGAAATAAAAAAAACAATCATCAGACAGGAAGTCTCCAACAGTTTTAACACTTTTAAAATACCAATTTTCTATTAAAAAAAACAACTCTTATTATCAATCTTTATGTTTGAGTTGTACCATATTGGAATATTACAAGCTTTATATTTCATATCCTTGTCATGTTCCATCTTTTTCATTACATTTTGCCAAAAACTAAAAACATCAAACCAAAAAAGATTGTTCTTTGTCATTAGAACATTAGAGATATACTCGTCTCCAAAGTCTAAAAATCGTTTTATAACATCATTTCCATTTACTGCCAAAAATATATCTAACCATGGTTTATTTCCTGTATTCAACAGTCTTTGGACTCAAGTGCATTTTAAACATTTTATGAAGTTAAAAATATATCAGTACTGACAGAGTCCGATATTAAACTTATTTAACTTAATATCAGACTTCTCACTGATATCGGACTGCCACAGGCAAACCTTTGGACTGCAAGAAGAAAGGAATGACATCGCAGCAATGTTTTAAGTATGAAATAACAAATGCTCCAAAGACTACGAGGGGTGATCAAAAAGTTCGCGAACTAATTGAATTACGTCCATAAAAAAAATAGAATTAGGTTTCAGTATTTTTAAAGTAGTCCTCTTCGATTTTAATACACATCTGCCAACCTTCTGCCCGTGCGCGAATCACGTGATCCAGGCGGTCACGTGACATGCTCCGTAGCGTTCTGTTCACTGAAGTTAAAGATTATTCCGAGTTTTATATTTCTTACTATGCAAGTTATTTTTTATAGCAAGAGTAGTCCATTTGTCACAAATGGCTAAATCTCAGCAATAGGATGGGTGGATAAGGATATTTTTCCCCAGAATGAGCATGGTGACCATCACAACCCGACTCCTTCGTCTTGGGTGCGTCGTTTATCCACTGTAGATAAAGAATGGGCGCCTTCTTTTTATCATAGCTGATATATTTCAAGTCTTAAGTAAACGATAATTTAGGGATTTAATGACTATATTATTGTTAAGATATTCAACTATTTATCTAACTGTAACTTGGCGATCTTTTATATCAAATTGTTCAACTAAGGACACATCTCTTCCCCCATCTTATTTTCACTTGGTACCAGAACAAACATCATTTTTAACTATCCCACTTCCTTCACTAAAACAATCAATCTAATTAATGATTTAACTTCTGACAAGTCTTTTATCTTCATAAACCTTGTACAAATTATTATATGCTACTGCAAAGTAATTTCCAAGATATACGTTAAACTTTTAAACCGTTCGTTGCTCGAGTACGACTGAGTCAACTATTTTTTGTCACAAGTCATCTACATATTGACGTCATTTTCACATTTTGATGTCAAAAACATGGAACAAACGTTACATAACATCTGCTCTTTTTTGAAGAATAGTGCTAAATTTCATTTTAATCTGAATTGTGGTTTTGTAAATATAGAGACAGTTCACGAACTTTTTGTAACTATATAGGTACTGCATATATTTACTTTATACAGGAACTAAACATTTCAAACTCTTTGTGCATAAATTACATAAATAATGATGAAGAAAACATAGCCATATATATATATATATATATATATATATATATATATATATATATATATATATATATATATATATATATATATATATATATATATATATATATCAGACTTTGGGCGAATTACATTGTAAAGTTATGCATTACATTACCATTACTTCAAGAATTTGGGCATTAAATTACCATTACCATTACTCTAATTTCTTAAAGTAATGCATTACTTTAGTAAAGTAATGCATTACCATTCCCATTACTTTTGAGGTTTTTAAAAATATAAATACAAAACTTTGCAACTATTTTCATAAGCATGCATCAAACCCCTTCAAAGCTAAACATGACGAATGATAATTCAAATTTGATTTCAAGTACTTGTATTTATTATACTGTAAATAACTTACATATCTTTTTATTATTCATAGGAAGTTCAAACTTTTCAATTGTCAGTAAGATAAAACATGTACAATATGCACTTTTTGTGTAACTACATGTATTGATCTCATAAAGCAATTTAACTTCCGGGGCACTTTAACCCCTGCCCAAAACTATCTAATATTAATTAAGCATAGATTATTTGGATCTAGTGCCTTATGGAAAAAAATAAATGCATTGACAAACTTGTAAAAAAGGGTTGGACAGTAGGTACATTTTGCTCTGCTAAACATAGAATGCCTGTATGTCTTCTGTTCCTTTTGGTACTATGGATTTGTCATGGTTAGCTCAAGCTAAACCAGCT